GAATCGAAGCACAGATCTGCGCCGCATCTAGAGGAACACGTCACGGAAGAATCACAATCGCGACCTCAAGTCAGGCCGAGTTTTTTGTCCGATGAGCCGCTGAGAATCAGCAGTCTCGAAGTCGGAGATTTAAAAGTTGATCGACTGAGCGTGTCACAGATAGAAGCGCACAAAATCGTGGCGTCCGAAGTAGACGCGATGATGATTACGGCATCGGAATTGAGAGGTGGCGATTCCATGGAGGAAAGTTTGTCGCCGGCCATCATCAGAGAGCTGATAGCGATCAGGAGTCATTTGGAGACCGTGATGACTACCCAGGCACAAGAAAGATATCGCGAGAGCGAAAAGGAGTCCGTGAGCCACAAGATAACCGACATTCCTATCAAGGCTAATAGTCCAGTTCAAGAGCGACAATCTGCGTCGCAGGATGTTCCGACGGAAGCGGTGAAGCCCAGCGAGACTGTCGTAAATGAACCAATATCTACAGAAGATGAGAAGACAGATGCTGACAAGGATCAAAAGGTTGTTAAAACAAATGTAGTAGATGTCAGGGACAAAGAGATATCACATCCCCTCTCAGTTGCTCAAGCCAAAGAATTCCCTTCCTCACAGACACTTATGATAGATGAATTAGAATTCAAGGATAAAGAATCTACCACACACTTGTTCACGATCGCTCAAGATAAGTCCTTACGAATTTTAGATTCCGAACATCCCTTAACTTTGAGTCCACGAACCACGTCGGGCTCCCACGTGGATGAATCTCGTGCCTCATATCCTTCATCGGATACGCCTTCAACCCGGCCCTCCGAATCGAGAGAATATCCTCCGTCGGATGCGCCTTCAACCCAGTCTTCCGAATTTAGAGAATCGCCGGATCGTGTCGGCGAATCTCCGAGTATCTTTGTTCAGACTACTACTACTATTACTACTACTACTACTACTGCTACTGCTACTATCACTACTGCTACTACCGAGCTGGGCGCAATATCTACGGATCTTCGTAGCAGCAAGGACGATGTGTCCGACAATAAAGAACAGACTTCTCGCAAATCAAGATCTAGATCCTCCTCACCTACTAAAGGTATACGGCAAACCGCATCTCCAGTTCGTTCATTGCCACCAGCCATTTCCGTGACTCCTGATACGTCGACCCCTGATTCAACCGTACCAAGACACGGTATCTCTGCGGACGTTAAACCACAGCGTGCCGTCATTTCTTATTCTTCGGACACGAGACACGATGTCCCTAAAGACAGTCAACCACAGCGTGCTGTTATTTCGCAGTCTTCCGACGCGGGACAATCCCTTACGGAAAAGCAAAGGGAGTCCTCTCAATCGCCAGTTTCTTCCTTTCCTTTGAGTTCGACTCATTTCATCGCCTTTCCAGCTTCCGAAATTCCAGCTCAGTTCTTTTCTCTGAGTGAAACGCCAACAAGTCAACGCTCTGATATAGAACCCGGCGTTATAGATACTACGCAGCAGCTTCTTCGAGCACTCCGATTGGCTGGTATTAAAGCCATGAGGTATTTTATAGGGTATTTAGCGTCTACGTTAAGTATGGATGACACGAGAGAGAAGATAAGAGATGTGGAATTAACGATATGCGCCTTGTTACTTCTGATCGCAGGCTTGTTGATATATTATTTCAGTAGCACACGGATTGTAACACATCATCATCATTGGGATTATTTTAATCCCCCTCAATAGCACTTCTACAATTCAATTTGCCAAAGAAGTCCGTAAATAATTTATTGGTTTATAGAAGTTAAAATTTCATATTGTATAAATTTTTTGTACAATTTTGTCTGAAGAAAATACTAGGATATGACGAAGTAAGGAATTCGAATTGAATTAGAGCTCTTGTACACATATCAGAACGAAGTGCCAGGTTTGTAAAAAATAAATTGTAATTATATTATTAATATATGCCAAATATATAATTAAAAACTTTAATATTTAAAGAATACTATTTACAATAATTCTTAGTATAATTCATGTGCTATATACATATACATACATCAGTCAATAATATACATAACATTTAAGAAAAAAGATTATTTAATCGAGCCTTTATTAATTTATAATTTTCGTCAGAGAACACAATTTCTATTCTTTTCTCTAAAAAATCGATACCTTATTTTCTCCTATATTATATTTATAACTTAAATTTAAAAATTTAGTAGATATTTTTGATATAACTATTAATAATTTTATTCTTTTTTACAATCATAATTTTATGACTTAAAAAAACTGAAATTAAAAGTAAAATGAATAATATCCATTTGTGTTTTCCATTTAATTAAAAGAATCGTTAACAAAAAGACATTTTATATATAATTCAATTAATCACAAAATCAATGTGAAAAAACAAAAAAAGAAATTAAAAACTAAGATTCAGCTGATTTTACAAACAAGGTTCGACTATATAATATTTTTTCTTATTGATAAATATTGATGAATATTTCTACACTATTATGAATTTTTTGTTATAATTATAATAATAAACCAATTATTATATATGGAGTATACAAATGTTTGCTATTAAAATTTGTTGATATATATATATATATATATAAATGAAAAAGTACAATTAAAGTACAATTAAAAATAAATTAATCGTATTTCCAAATAGTGGGTGTAACAAAATGATTTATCATAATAGTATGTTGGTAATATTGGGTATTATATATAATATCGCATTTAAAAAATTATTGCCAACAAAAATACCTGCAGTTACTGAAAGAGATCCTCTTCGTATACTTTAAGTTCCCGTCTGTCTTTATGTGCACTTTTCTGTGAATAATTAGCCGCTATTGGTGACCACATAGAGCTAGACATAGTGTCGCTAACTGGCTCTATTATTGGCTGCCTTCTTGCTAACGATACTTTTAATTGGATGGACGAGACCATGCTACCATCCATCTCACTTATTGCTCTCTCAGCAGCTTCGGCCTTTTCAAAGGTTATAAAGCCATGGCTATGGGCAAAAAAGAACAGAAATGATTATTAATAATCGAAAATATTTACTAAAACTTTGAGTGGACATTAGTATGTATAAGAAAAAACATTATTTATATTTACTTTTTCTCTGCTTCCATGGAAATATGGATAATATTTCCAAAATTTTGAAAGTGCTTCTTTAGATAATCCTCTGTTATTTTGTAACCGCATACATATATTGTATTTCCTGCACGTGGTTTAATTTCTTGTTTAGCAGGAGCTGGAGTATCACTGGTATTTCTTTCTCCAGTGTTTTGAGCACCAACAAAGTTATTATATAAATCCTTGACTTTTGGCCTCACTGTCTCTGTTTCTTCTTCTTCCTGCATTGCTGAAAATGGTTGATAGGAACTAATCGTCTTTTCTGTACTGTTTAACTTCCTTTCTAGTCCGCGAGATCTTTTGAAAGTTTGCTCCGGTCGCTTAGGAGTCTTTGGGGCTGTGATTACGCCAGATTTAATCAATTTCTTGGCAACTTCGCGAGCATCTCTTGCTTCTGTAGGCCGTTTTGGAGCCTGAGGAATGCGTTCTGTTTCTTGTTTAGGAGCTTTTAGATCTTGTAGCGCTTTTTTCTATAATTTGAGGAATGATTGACAAGAATTAAAAATAAAGGTAAGGTAAAATACTTTATACAAGATATAATTGTTAGAAAAAAAAACGATGATCTTTGCTTGTAGATTAAACAAAAATTTGAATTTTGCGTTATGAATTAATTGAGAAATGGATATCTAACAGATAAATTAAATTTTATCGAATATTTCATACAAAAACATAACCTGTACCTTCCTCTTCAGCTTATTGAACTTAGTTTGCAGCATCAACTCTTCCTCTGTTAGGTTTGACGGAAAATGCAGGTATACCATATTTTGCATGTAATATCAACAATGTTTTTGCAATATTCTTTATGACTTTTTAAACAAAATTGGAGAATCATAGAGAAAACGCGTCCTGCGTCTAACCGGTCTATGTGTACTACAGTGCACTTGAGATACATATAATTTTATTTACTGTCACTTTTCAAAAATTAATTTGCAAAATCTAATTATGTACGAGTCTTTGCAGCTTCATAAAAAAAAAACGAAAAAGTTTCATAATGTAATATTACTTCTAGCAGATAAAATAACAGCATGAAAACATATATTCGCACTGTAAATAAATCGAGCATATAGCATATCATTTTATTTATTATAATGTTTTTAAGATCGAAATTGCAAATTTAGCTCTTTAACCGACTTTGTAATTTCGTAAAATATAAACTAAACCGATTTTCATAATAAAATATTGCTTTCGCAAAACAATATATGATAGAGCGATAGAGAGAACCTGATAAAGTGCAGATATGTAGGTGCATCACATTCTCTGAGTTAGCTTATCACTCCAATAGAGTCTTGTATATAAAAGAGACATAAATTAATGTTCGAGTTTCTGATTGGTAGTCTGATGTGTAATACTGATTGGGTATCCCTTCCTAAGTGAAGCAACTATATTGCGACCGCAGCTATTTACGTAGATGACAGCTGACACATGGTTGCCGAACTGTATTGCTACGAGAGTTAATTCATCGGATTATCTGAGTTCATCGTTGATTTTTTATCATTAAACTTTCGCATTATAGTAAATTTTTAAATTAAATTATTGTTCTTGTTGTAATTTTGTTTATGTCGGCAAACAAATTTTACGCTAAGTACGAAATATGTTTATATTAAACGGAATTCATATTTATGCATTGGAGCGGTCCAAATATGTCGACACAGGAAGTATCCAGACTCTGATGGGAGTTCGATTTCGAATCTCTTTTATATACAGAACTCTAGTCACTCTTGTTTTAAGCTTTTTGTGTGTCATGGCTTTTCCACTTCCACTGTGCTTAGCAGAATTGACAGTCCAGTGGCTGAGTAGCGACAAGTGGCGCCAGTGGCTGAGTCAGTCTGACGTCTGACCAAGTCTGACTCTGACATCATTGGGTCCTTGAATGCGTTCTCGCATTTACCGGATCGCACCAGATGCTTCCCGAGAAATTATCCTTTCGAAAAAGAAAGAACGAACACGTCATAGACACTCGACAAGAATCAACGTGTAAGTTTCTATTCGTTTGACGCTCTCTTATACCTAGACAAAATGTGCATATCGGTGACGGCGCTTAGTCGACGAGGATTTACCTCGAGGGATGTTATGCGGTTCGGCATTAAGCAACTTCATTGCTCCAGTTGCGAATCAACAATGAACAACGTGCTGTCACGACGATGTCCCGCATCGTTGAACGTCGCCGATGTCTCACGAATTTTGGGCTGGTTTCGCGAGAGCACGAAAATGTTTTCTTCCGTGAGGACTCCGATTTCCTCCGACGTCGTCGCCGACGCTCTGACAAAGCGACAAGCAAAGGAGTTGGTGTCAAAGCTCACTTCGGAGGAACGTGGCTTGTTTTTGACAGCATTAAACGAATGCAAATCAGCGGAGCAGAAGGCTGGTTATGAAGGTAGACATCCCTTGTTTCAATAAATTTGTAATCTTAGACAAGCATTTGCTATTTAACGAAAGACTAATTCTCATTTTAAAGATTTACAGACAATTATTTCTTACAAAACTTACATAAATTACATATTAATGAAGAAGATATTGATCTTTTATATTTAGCTTTATATATATATATGTGTGTGTGTGTGTGTGTGTGTGTGTGTGTGTGTGTGTGTGTATAGGTATAGCATAAAGAAACATATAATAAAATATCATAAAGAAACATATATAATAAAATTCTTGCAAGACAAGTATTCGCTATTTAACTAGGAGCTAATCCTGATCTTAAGAATATACAGTAGAAAATAATTTCTTATAAGATTATATATTGATAGGGAAGATATATTGATCTTCTTTTATATATTTAATTTTATACATATACATATCACAAAGAAACACTATATAAAATTTTTGCACCTTTACTAGGTCAACTGGCAGCTATCCGATGGAGGAGCAAGTTAGGCAGACCTAGCAAAATACCATCATTAGGCGAGGTGGATCCTACAGGAACCTACTGCCCTATGCCGGACGATTGGTTAAACCGCAAGTACGGTAAGGACATTACTATTTTTATATATATTTTTAATCATTCATATCGTCATACATTCGTTAAATCATCGGTACTATTAAAGAAAGAAGTATAATATAGGATCATTAAATACAGTACAGGATCATTTAAAATGTCTTTAATGCAGTGTAACAATTCGTTACATTCATAAAAAAAAACATGAACGTTAACTTAGATTTATTACCTATAGATCTCGAAAATAAAATTAACCTCCCTGTTATTTAATGGTATTTTTGGATATAATGGAATATTTTTCCTGCAATGCGATCTCCATGGATGTTATTCTGTAAGTTTCTCGTTTTTTCTCAATTTCTCTCTTAACTCTCTAGCACTCTCTGTGTCTCTTTTCCTCTAATTACACTAACTCTCTTGCCTGCTTCTATTCTAACACAACTTTTTGGATGTTTCATGGCCAACCACAGTGCCACAGTTAGGTAATATTTTGGACACTTTTCTATGGTTCTCTCATTTTTTAAAAACCTTTTCCCCCAATATGGAAATTAATCTTTGTTAATTTCATTTAACTAAATACATTTTTATAAATTATAGAATTATCTTTTTCATATTTTCATTTGTATTTCTTGCAAATTTTGTTTTTGAAATAATCATTTGGCCAGATTATTTTTCATGCATATAGACAAAGTTGTTTGGATAAAATGATTTTTCTAGAATTTGTTAAATTCTACAAAAAATTATCTTTAATAGTAGAGCTTTTTGTTTTTTTCCTTACAATACTTTTTCCTTCATTTGAATTTTGTTAAGATTCCTTTTTTTATTTAAATTCATTAAAAATACATCACAATATACAGTTTTGGTGTTCATGAACCATAAAAACAATCTTATATTACCTTATATTGCATTTAGTGTTTGCTAATTTCATTAAGTAATTACGTAGCAATTTCATATTAAATATGATTAACTTGTGGATTTAGATTGATCTTTTGTTTTTTACAGTTGAACACGTTGCAGAGCCATCCACAAAAGACTTGGTATTCGGTATGTATTACTTTCAATTCATTGATTCAATTCATTCGATATTACTTTCAATATCAAAGAGTTTATATATTCACTAGCAAGTAATCAATCGCGTTTTTATCTTATTTATCTCCTATTTACTGTTCACAAAATAAAAATTAAATAATACTTTTATTTTAAAAGATTTATCATTACTGCAAAGATTGATTAAATAATATAGATATATCTTTTAAGAAAATTTTAATTAGACAAAATATGTAGAAGTTTTATATACATATAATAATTTAAATCTCAATTCAAATTAAAAGTGCAAATAAATAATGTGGAACAATAATTGTATTTTTGCAGTCGCGATCGCGAATGCAATTCCATTCGTTGGATTTGGTTTTCTTGACAACTTCATCATGATCGTTGCTGTATGTATCTTATGGACTTCCGTCATTTCCTATGTGCCGACTTTTAAGATTGATGTTTCAGGGCGATCAAATCGAATTGATGCTGAACAGAAGGTTCCCTATCTCTACCATGGCAGCGGCAGCGCTGGGCAACACGGTATCAGACGTCATTGGAATCGGTTCGGTGCATTATGTTGAGATATTTGCTCAAAAAATCGGCTTCGAAGCGCCCAAATTAACTCTAGCACAACTGAATCTGCCTAGGACACGAATAGCTGCGAATGTGGTACAATTTGTTGCTTCATTATACTTTATTTTATATTGAGCATATTTTTTTGTTTTAATATTAAGTAAAAATACTAAGTAAAAATTTACGTAAAAAAGATTTTTGGATAATTAAAAAGATGAAGTCTTTTTCAGTGAAATTATTCAAGGAAATTTTTTTGTTGATTACAGGGTCGAGTTATCGGTGTTACGATTGGATGTATTATTGGCATGACGCCTATACCGTTAGCCGCGCTTTTTCGTAATGATAGCTGAATTAGCCAAAAAAAATGACTGAAAGAAACGAATTAATTTAATTAATTTAATACAATTAACTTAGTATGTAGGACAGGCCGCAAATACCCCACAATAAGCGTTTTATTTTACACAAATGCTTAAACTTTTATAGTTTTAATGTTCAACTATCGTAAATAACACGATTTCCATCTCATCCAGTATTATAAAATTAATATATATATATAT